ACTACTTCGTGGTTCGAAGTGCTACGGGGTGGCCGTTTCCTACTGAGTGGGGTTTGGCCGCTCCTGACCCCGGTGTCGCATTAGACGAAGATACGGTGAAGGGCCTCCAGGACTGGGCCTGACAAGGGCTCAAATGCGAAGTCTACCTGACGGAGGACAAGCTTATTTAGGTCGGTCTGAGTTCGGGTAGGTTTCTTGCTCAGACGAAAATACTCTTGCTTTTGCTTTTATTCTCGTCTTTTGATGCCGAGCTCCTTTTTGCAGGTGTTATGGAAGCAGAGAAGACTCGAGGTGCGAACTTGTTTGCTGGCATGAAAAGGAGGAAGCGAGCTACTAAGCGGGTTCGCACCGATCCTTCCCAGGTTGCGGAGCTCGAGGCACCGAGAATGGAGCCTCCTGGGGAGTCCGAGGTGCCCCCTCCAGTTCAGGAAGCGGCAGGGGTCCCCTATGCTGACACTGCTTATACCCGGGCTTGAAGCGAGAACAAGCTATCGAAGCGGCTTCCTGTGCTGTGTGAGCTGAGCTGTCGAGGTCTCGGAGGGACAGAGAGGCCCTAGGAATGGTGGTGAGGCACATGGCGGACCTAAAGTTGGACATGCAGCATCAGGTTGAGTACGTCTAGGAAGATATCAGGGAAAAGACTCAGATCTTCTCTCAAGCCGTTGAGGAGGCGAAGGTGAAAGCCATCGAGGATTACATCGCTTCGCCGTGGTTTGACGATATGATGGTCGGCTCGTACAGAAGGGGTTTCAAGCTGAGCCGATGGATGATAAGGAACATGTACCTCGAGCTTGATATTAGTGCCATAACCACTTTGCGCATCACCCCGGAAATGGCTGCTGCGACAGATGACGCGGATTCCGAAGACGAAGCGGGACCTTCGGGTATTATCGAAGTCCCTTCTAAAGGCGAGGAAGATTGACCTCCAGGTTTGTGAGCTTATTTGTGTTTTTTGTTTTTGGAGGAAAATTTGACCCGACCCCTTGGCCATACGACACGTGGAAGCAACCGAGAGTGACCTAGTAGAAGCGCCAGCTCGGCACGGTAG